CATTTGTAAGCAAAGACCCAAATTTAACACCCCGAGAAAAAAAAAAAAAAAAAAAAAATCAGAGAGCAACTGATGGAAACTGTCAGTAACTGATGGAAACTTTCACAGACAAACTATCTTGGGGTATACAGTATTCCTTATAGCCCCAATTTCCTCACTACACTGCAACCTTTTGTGTTGCCCTTTTCCGTGCCCAGTTCTCTCAAATTGAACTGGCTCACTCTCATTCATCCAACAAGTATTTATTAAGCATTCATTATGTAGTACCTAGTTCTGCTGCAGGTGCTGGGGATTTGGCAGTAAACAAAAAAGCTCTTTACCCTCAGGGAACTCACACACTAATGCAAGGAGTAAGCAAGATAAATGAGATCACATAATCACATTAGATGAGTTCATGGAGATGGGGACACAGCAGATTCTAAATGGTAAATGTCAGGCAAGGTTTCAATGAGCTGGCCACATGCACCTGAACATGCAAAGGTGTCACAGCAGCAGTAGACAATGCATCCCTCGGTGTCACACAGTAGTGGTGTCACTGTTACTGTCCATTGAGTGCTGTGCTGGGAACAGGGAACTGAGGTCAAAGGACAACTGAGCTTCCTAAAGGGTGGCTACAATGTGCCAAGCAGACAAAAAGGGAAACCACCCCAAGCACGCTGCACTATGTGCCTATAATTCTCGCTTATCCAAGGGGACAGAGTGTGACTTTAAAACTAAAGCATGTGCCAAGTCAACAGTACCCAAATATCTGAAGGAACATATTACCCTAAAGAGGGTGGCAAAGAGGCTGGGGATTTGGCTCAGTGGTACTGCTGCCTGTCTTGTAAGTGCAAAGGTCCGAGTTAGATAACTGGTACCACCAAAAAAAAAAAGGGTGGCAAAGAACCCTGAGGGGTCCACTGGTCAGTCCACTGCACCCCAAAGTGCTAGCAATGCTACCCATGTAAGAACTTCTTGGAGCCAGGCATGGAGGGCGCACGCCTGTAGGCTCAGCACTCAGGAGGCTGAGGAAGAATGAGTTCAAGGCCAGCCTTAACTCCATAGTAAGACCGTCTCAAAAGACAAAAAACAAAAAAAGGGGACAATTTAGGCTGGGGATGGTTGTGCCTGTCTATAAACTCCAGCCACCCAGGAGGCTGAGGTAGGAGGACATGTTTGAGGCCTGCTTGGACAACTTAGAGAAATCTTGTCTCAGAGTGATAAAATTAAAAAGGGACATAACTCAGTGATAGTGCCCCAGCTTCACCATGAAACAAGCCTCCATTTTATTTTATTTTAAAAATGGGAGTAACAGGCCAGGAGTTTACCTCAGTGTTGCTGCTGCCAGCCTCGCAAGCGCAAGGACCCGAGTTCAATCCCCAACATGCCGCCCCGCAAAAAAAACAAAAAAAAGTAAAGGGAGTAACAACCCCTACTTCACTTGGAAGCTGGGAGACATCACTAACACGAAGCACATCAAGTACTCAGCAAAGAAGCGAGGTGCCCTTGAACAGGGCTGTCATTCATGACAAAGGACGACACAGTTAAGAAAAGAAGCTCTAGGGACAGAGAACACCCGTTGTACTTGATCCTTTCTTTCCTATTCCCATCCATCCTGGAGAAGCTGAAAGAGCTGTGGAAGTAAGGACAACGAACTCCCACAAACCAGCGTCAATTACAAACACGTGGACAAACTTTGATTCTTCTACCTTGCTCCATTCCCACTAAATTTCTTCAAATCAAACCCCAAATGTGTTACTCTGACCCTAACACAGATTTCCATAGAAATAACAACATAGTGTCATTATTACATTTTGAAACATTAACATTCACTCCTTAAGCTCATCTAAGCGCCAGTATTCAAGTTTCCTCAATTGGAACTGTTCGAAACAGCATTTTATAAAAACTCATTTAAAATGGGATCCAACCAGTCCCCAAGTATCATTTAGTTGAGGTGCCAGTGTGTCATTTGACCTTTTCTTTTAAACTAGGGATTGAACTCAGGTCCCTGCACTTACAAAGCAGGTGCCGGAACCACTGAGCTAACTCCTGGCCCTTCATTTGACCTTTTAATCCTTTTCCTTGTCATTTGTTAAGAAAACTGATCATAAATTTATCCTGTGCAATTCTAGTCTGGATAGGCAGAGAAGGGACAAAAGGAAGCTGCTAGAGAGATAGTAGAGTACTTCATTCAGAAAGCCCAGCAATGAGGCTGTTGCAGGATAGCCACAAGTTCAAGTCCAGATGGGACTACACAGTGAGTTTAAGGCCAGCCTGAGACCCTGTCTCAAAAAAACAAAGCCAGCAGTGAACCCGGGCTTGGATACACAGGTAAATATCGGCAAGGCATGAGGAGTGTGTGTATGGGGAATTGTAGGCATGAAGAGAAAAGCCAGGTTTGTGACATGTAGAGAGTATCAGAGACAGGTCTTGGTGACAGGCAGGGGAAAAGTTAAATGAAAGTATTAAAGTGAAGCTGGGGAGGTGGCTCCATGATAACAGTGCTTACCTAACACATTCAAGTCCCTCAGCTCTATCCCCAGCCCTTCAACAAACCAACTAGGATTAAGGTGTCATCAAGGCCGTGACTTACATATGTGGACACCAATGTCCTAAAGAAGCATCCAAAAGAAACTAGGTTAGCCCAGCGTGGTGGTGCACGCCTGTAATCCCAGCACTCGGGAGGCTGAGGCAGGAGGATCGCTGTGAGTTCAAGACCAGCCTGGGATACATAGTGAGTTCCAGTTCAGTTTCAACTACATAGTGAGACCCTGTCTCAAAAAAGCAAAAAAAAAAAAGAAACTAGGTTGGTAAGGAGAAATCTCAATAGTGGTCTGGAAATATCTCTGAGGCTTCCAAGAAAAGAGCATCAAGATATCCACGGAGAGCATGCTCACATAGCTCCCAGGTCAGGCATTTACATTAAGCACCCTGAGGAAATCAACTGATCCAGAGGAAAGGAGCAGAGGGAAGTGATTCACCACAGCCTCACAGGTGCAGGAGCAAAACCAACAACCTCTTACCACTAAGTCTTTCATTTAAACTTTACCCAACAAAGGGCCACAGGAAGTTGGTATCTGCCCCTCTTGTGAGTTTAGTGAATAGTTCCATACCCGGAATCTACTCCATCCCTCCTTACTTGGAAGGAACCAACTCACTGGATCACAACTCACTGCCTCACCTTGAGACCCAGCTGGGTTGTGGCAGCACCTCAAGTGCACTACAGGAGGGGCCCAGGCACCAGGAGTCTCCCTCCCTTCCTGCCTACCTTTGCTCCATGCTCTCCCACCTAAAAGCCCAGAGTAAATGTGATGCATGGCAAGTGCGGGGCAGGGGGTGCTAAATGAGCGAACAACTCCACTTTCTCTGAAACAGGCTGGAGCAGGGTCCTGGCTGTGGCCTGGAAACAGAACATAAGAGAGTTTGAGGGAAAAGAGAAATAGGTGGAGGAAGGAGAGACTTACACATTTTTAGCTCTGTCTCCACTTCCTGCTGTCGCCGCTCAATCTTTTCTCGTCTCTGTCAGGAAAAAAGGGAGACAGAAAAGTGAGTGTACATAAAAGGCCTGGAACAGCAGGGATCATCTGGAGAGGCAAGCTGACATACCTTCCTCTCCATGCGCTCCTCCCGGGTTTCAGCACGAGTTGGAGGAGGGGCATCTCGAGGGTCCTGGGAATGAGAGAGATGACGGGGAAGGACTGGGGAACACCCATCAAGGAAATCAAAATCTCAGTGCCCTCCCTAATACACACTCATCTAAACAAACACTGGCCCCAGTGGAGGTAAGAATGGCAGAGGTTAAACCATGACCTGTGGCCCAGAGCTGCCCACAAACTGCTGCTGGTCTGTGACAAGTACAGAAGCCAGAAGCATTCAAAATTTTCTATAGCAATCAGACTGAATTATGTCCGTTGACCGTAATAAAAATTTGTTCTTGGGGCCAGGGATGTAGCTTAGCAGCACAGCACCTGCCTGGCAACTGTGAGGCCCTGAGTTTGACTCCCAGTAACAACAACAACAACAACAAAAATCTGGTCTTATTATATGGATCTTAAAAAAAAGAAAACAAAAACAGGAATGGTGGTACACACCTGTAATTCTAGCACTCATGAAGCTAAGGCAGGAAACTCACTGAGTTTAGGGCCAACCTGGGCTACAAAGTGAGCTTAAGGCCAGCCTGAACCACACAGCAAGACCCGGTCTCAAAAATTAATACTCAAAAATAAAAGAAAAGAATTCTACTCTATTTAACAAAAGCATCCAACTACAACGGAGGGCAAATATTTGTCCTTCACCACACACAATATGAGAAGCACTAGCATAGGTAACAGAGCTTAATGGCACAGTACCACAGGTCCTGTTGCTCATATTTAGAGAATGCAGTGCTTCTCATGGCCTCAAGAATAGTTCACAGAGAACAAAGTGCCAGAGGGCATTATGGGAACCCTTTAATGCAAGTACCATGAGCATCAAGGTCTGAAACAACACGAGCTGATTGCACAGGGCTCTAAAGCAGACAACTGGACACATTCTGCAGGCCAACGCAGGTCTGAAAGGTCCCACTCACAAGACAGTAAATAATAACTAACACATGATCTACAGCATCAGAGGTGCCACTGGCCCATATTAAACCCATTTAAATATCTAATAAACTGGAGTTTACCAAAGGTGGCAAATTCCAGTAAAGAACCACCTTTCTGTTAACCACTACATTTTGCTCTGCTACTCCAACTCCTTCATCTCCAGTTGCCTTCCCACCTAATGCTAAATGGTTCCTTCTGATTTGTGGCTGCAGGTTGTTTATTCACATGTAACCTGCAGGCAGAGCTGAAATCCCCAAGCCCATAGCTTTAAGCACTCAAGAACAGGGTGCAGGGCCAGGGATTTAGCTTAGTGGTGCTACCACCTGCCTCGCAAGTACAAGGTCCCAAGTTCGATCCCTGGTACCGAAACAAACAAAAAAACACGGTGCAAAACCTTTAGGAATATCATCCCATTAAAGATATAAAAATGTAGGGGAGGGTAGAAAAAAAGACTCAAGATATATCACGAACAAGTACAAATTCCCTAGGATGAATATAATCATTATTTGTATCTAAAATGTAGCAACAAAATTAATTTTAAAAGGGCTGCAGGGCCAGGGATTTAGTTCCGTGGTTCTGCTGCCTGCCTCACAAGCACAAGGACCTGTATTCGATCCCTGGTACCAAAAAATAAATAAATAAAATGTTTGGAGATTTAGCTCAGTGGCACTGTACCTGCCTTGAAAGCACAAAGTCCTGAGCTCGTTCCCCAGAACCAAAACACAAAACAAAACAAAACAAAAAAACGGGCTAGGGATATAGCTCATTGTGAAGGCTCAGAGTTCAATCCTCAGTACCAAGAGGAGGGGAAAAAAGAAAGGTCACAGCTGGGCTTGGTAGCACACGCCTGTAATCTCTGCACTTGGGAGGATGAGGCAGGAGGATCGCTTCGAATCCAAGACCAGCCTAGGCCACATAGTGAGTTTCCAGGGCAGTCTGATCTATATAGTGAGACCCTATCTCAAAGAACAAAAGGGAAAAAAAAAGAACACAACATTTGAAGGTCATGCCAAATGCTACGTGGCATGGGCTAAGGGCTACCAGACAAGACTCCAAAGCCCCAGTTCTACTTACTGAATTTTCAACAAAAAACCCTCAAAAAATGCAACCTCGTTTAAGACAGGAAACTGAAAATCTGCAAATATGTCACCTGTGTAAGTCACACAGCTAGAAAACGCCAGAAGGTGGACTGACCAACAGTCTCCTGCTTTCCAGAACCAAACCACTCCTTGTCTACTCAGTTAACTCACCTCAAACTCTCGGATATACGGTGCAATGCCACAGTAAGGTTGATTGTGGTGCTTTTCATGTGGCAGTTTCTCCAGGGGTGGCAGGTATGGAATAGGGTCACGGGGGGCAAAGAGAGCTAGAAGGTTGGGCGGCAGGAACTGGGTCATCTTGCCAAATCTAAGAGCAGAAGCCAGACAACCTTATGTTACAGTGGATCAGTAGAGATGGCTTCCTGTTACCATCTGGCCCTCAAAAAAAAAAAAAAAAAAAAAAAAAAAAAAGATAAAACAAACTCTGTAATGGTCTACATTAGGGAGCAAGAGGTAAATCTTGGCGCGAGCAGGAAACAAAGGCTAAAAAACGGAAACACTTGAAAGTAGTTACTGAGTAGTAAAGTCTCAGAGTACAGAGCCAGGATCCGTGGTGCTCAGAGGATCACCGAGGGCCTGGGGGCTCAACCAACTCCAGGAGAGACGCTCAGAGCAGACGTGGCGGGGGGTCCCACATCTTGGAAAACAAGCGATAGGTGGAGGTCAAAAGGGCTGGGGGCAAGAAGGGTGGGAGCAGGAGTCGTCGTCAGCAGGAGCGAATCCCCAAGCCAGGGGCTTGTGGGTAATAGACTGAGCTCCAAGTGAGAAAAGGATTCTGGGTAAGGGTCCTGAAGGCCACAGAAAGAAAAAAAAAAGCAACACCGCAAGGGCTTGTGGGTACCGGCCCGAGGGCGGGGGGGGAGTGAACGCTGAGGGGAGAGGGGTCGAGAGGCCGGTGGGCCCTGGGCAAAGAAAGCAGAAAGGTGGCTGAAGCGGAAACGCGGGAAAGGGGCCTGGCCTCAGGGAAGTCGACTGGGCCCCATCGCAGGGGCTTGTGGGTAGCGGCCCTGTACCCCTTAAGGCCACTTGATCATACCCGCCGCGCGGCACCCTCCTCTGCCTGGCGTTGGTCCTGGGGCTCGCGGCAGTTGCGGCGGCCCCTCAGCGACGAGAACTCCTTTTTCGGCTTCCACTCCAGCGGGGTCCGCTTTGGTCTTCCTCAGTCAGCCGTCTAGCGCGCACACCAGGCCGCCGCTCTCCGACCCGCGCGGCCTCAGCTCGCGACGGGCATAGGGGTTGGGCCAAATCAGATATCCCTCCGCCTTCCACACTGCGCAGGCGCCTGGCGAGTCAAACGCACCTACGCACGGACCTAGCCCTGAAGGAGGCAAGGCGCATGCGTAAATCCCCACCTCGCTTTCGGTTGCCTGAAATTTACCCTAGCCAGCTAGCGGCGGCTCTCGGCATGTGCTATTTGCATCAAGCGCTCCCTCCACTTCTCTATGAAAGCTCCAGCTACTTGTGTCCTCCAGGCTCTTTCTGATGCTCCGCCCCCTTCACGTTACTCTTCCCAGATCAGTGCGCATGCGTCAATGAGAACTGTGTGGTAACCCTCCGCCGCCTGGTAAAGAGTTCCTACGTGAATAATGTGATTGCGTTCATGTCTAATCTTTTCAGGCGATAACTGCTTATTGAGCTGTTTGTGTATGTTAGTCTCTGAGGTCTGGGGACACAGTACTGATAAGTTATAGTCTTTTCCTTCTTGGGACTTACATCGTACTAGAGGAGACAATAAAGGCATTTAAATCTATGTAATTTTAAATAGTGGCCAGCACAGTGAAGACAAAGAAGAGTTAAGGGCATGGGAAGTGAGAGCGAAACTATCTTGAAAAAATTATCCTGGAAGATTTCTCTGAAGAGGTAACATTTGAACGATAGATACAGGGAAATCCGGGAAGGATTAATAGAAGAGATGGGATCGCAGGGCGAAACTCTGCAGTTGCTGGCCAGGAGAGAACTTGGGAGCCACGAAGTCCTGTAAGAATAAATTAGTATCGTAGCCGGGGATTTAGCTCAGTGGTGCCGCCGCCTGCCTTGCAAGCACAAGATCCCGAGTTTGATTCCCGGTACCAAAAATAAGAAAGAAATTAAGTATTGTAGTTAAGGTCTTTGGATGAACTCCGTTTCCTGTTTAACAACTAAAGTTCTTTCAGTAATTTGTATTTCAAGAAAGGCCTAACAGTATCAAAAGCAGTCTGCATTGAAACATTTTGACCTCTTTGCTGTGTTTGTGTAAACTATCTTAAATACTTTATAGCTCTTCCAAGAATCTAAAACTATTTCTAAATAAAATTTAATGAAAATAACCAAACTAATTCTCCCTTAATGTATTTTTTTCTATACCATTAACTTTGGGGCGGGGGGGGGGCGTGGATTTCGCTCAGTGGTTCCACTGCCTGCCTCGAAAGTGCAAGGTCCTCAGTTCAATTCCTGGTACCAGGAAAGAAAAAAAAAACATACAAAATACTTTTTTTTTTTTTTTTAAGATAGAGTCTTGTTTTGTAGTTCAGGCTGGCTTTAAACTCAGTATTGTGTAGCCCAGGCTGGTCCTGAACTCAAGGCATCCTCCATGCCCAGCCTATACCAATAGTTAACATGTATCTCCTAAGGTAAGGACATCTCCGACATAACACAAAGTTTTCACTGCCAAGAAAATTTATCCAGCCCCTATTCATATTTTCCCAACTGACCCAAGAATATCTTGTGTTAATTTGAACCAGGATCTAATCAGGGCAGGACACAGTTGTGTGTACATCCTGTATTCCAAGCACTCTGGAGGCTGAGGCGGGAGGATTGCTGTGAGTTCAAGAATAGCCTGGGCTACATAGTGAATTCAAGGCCAGCCTGGACTGCATAGTGAGACTCTGTACCCCTTCCCCAAAAAAAGTTTACACATTGAATTTGGTTGTCATGTTTCTTTGGCCTAATATAGAGTAGATACACCCTACTTTTTTTTCAGGACCTCTTTACTCTCTTGACTTCAGATCACTTTCCTGGTGAATGTCCCACATTCTGGATTTGTCTGATGTTTCCTTATGCTGTTTACATTGTTCTACTACCCCTGTTTTGCCCATAAAATGTAAGCTGATGAGTACACTAAAGTTAGGCATTTTGGACACAAACATATTCCCAGTGATTCTCGGGAGCTCATGGTACCCTGTGTCTAGGTGTGCGTGACGTCAGATGGCCTCACCAGTATGGCCCTGACTTTGGTCATCTGGTCCAGGAGTTACCTGTCTGATCTCTCCTTGTAAAGTGTATATTCCCCAGGAATCTGAGCAGTGAGGCTTTTGAGACTGCCAATGTCCTGTCCCCCTATCATCTCTCAGGTAAGGGTTATAGCAGCCGCTGTTGATCTTTCCTGAATTGAGTGTTGCACAGTACCGGAGTCATATTTTATTTGCAGCCAAATGGGATGGGAAGCAGCTTTATTAAAGGGCTCAGTCAGGGAGAGGAACTAAGCTAATGTTCTTTTTTGCAGTACCGGGCTTTGAATTCAGGACCTTGCACTTTCCAGGCAGGCTCCAGCACCACTGTGCTAAATCCCCAGCCCTCTAATGTTCATTTTAAAAAGATCTCTTTGGGGCGGCATATTTAGCTCAGTGGTTCTGCTGCCTGCCTTGCAAGCGCAAAGACCGGAGTTCGCTCCCTGGCACAAAAAAATGTTATGTGAAAGAAGTTCATGAGAAGAGGACTGGACTTGGAAACCACGGAAGAGAGGCCGGGGATGTAGCTCAGTGGCACAGCCCCTGCCTGGCAAGCACAAGGCCCTGAGTTCCACTCCTGGTACAAAAAAAAAAAAGAAAAGGTAAAAAAAATAATAAAGAAAACCAAGGAAGGGAACAGGAAGGAAGGAAGATCATTGGTGAAGAGCACGAGTTTAAAGAGAAAGAGTTCCTGACAGAAGAGCAGAGATTCTTGTTGTGCAAAGATCTCTAGGGAAGGGCGTCATTCAAATGATTCAAGGAGGCTGGGGCAGGAGGATCCTCATGAGTTTAAGATCGGCCTGGGCTACACAATGAGTTCCAGGTCAGTCTCAACTACATAGTGAGACCCTGTCTCAAAAAAAAAAAAAAATCAATCAATAAAATATATGCCTTAAAATACAGCTCAGAGACACTTTGGGAAAGCAGTATATTCTGGAACTCATCCTTGATGGTTTCTCTCTAGTTGCGGATATGTAATATTTATTTGTGAAGAAATGTATAATTTTGAGCACACATCTGTCATCCCAGCACTTGGGAGGCTGAGGCAAAAGGATCACTGCCAGTTCCAGGCCAGCCTGGCCTACATAGTGAGTTCAAGGCCAGCATGGACTGCATAGTAAGACCCTGTCCCTCCCCTCAAAAACATATAGTTTTGGAAACAGGCTATTATTGAAACAGAGGTATGATGGATGCTACACACCCTTTTCTTAACGATATTCATTGAGAATATAATTTCAGCCCTTGACCTTTAAATATACATAGGCACAGGGTTGCTTCCCACAGATTTTTTTACCTCAGATTTAAAAAAAATAGATAGTTCTCCAGTCACTGACCTTGAAGTGACTCCTACAAATTAATGCCAGTGTTTCAGTTGCCCTTATATTTATATTTTGTTTCAAATTATTAATCACATCAATCTAATTCATGCATTCATTTGGAATCAAACATAAGAATGTATTAAATGTTAGCCAGGCTTGGTGGCACACGCCTGTAATCGCAGCAGTTGGCAGGCTGAGGCAGGAGGATTCCTCAAGATCAAGCATGCTCTAGCCTGAAGCATTTGCATACTTACCAATTCACCTTCAGTTTAGGGTAGCATTGATAGGGAAAACTTTTTTTTTTTTTCTTTTTGGTTTTTTGAGACAGGGTCTCACTATGTAGTTGTAGTTGAGACTGACCTGGAACCGGGAAAACTTTTATAAATAGCAAAAACCTATAAAGTGTTACAGTGTAGTCACTTCTGTTGTCTGCAACAGCGGTTTGTTTTGTTTTGCTCAAAACTAAATAGGCACTGAAGGCACTAACTGCTGAATGAGGCATTGGTCTGACCCTGAGATAACGGCACAGCAAGACCTCGAGCTCTGCTGAGACTGGAGCCACCTGATTGTAAGAGCCTCTGGATGAAAGAACCCATTGCTAACATTTGCTCCCCTGACCCTGAGCACCCCCTTCCTACGGACTAGGACAGATAACTAGGCGAATCTTAAAGGTAAACTCCCCAAGTGCAAAGAACTGTTACGTCTGGGTTAAAAGATGAGCTATTCTGTGACGGTGATTTGAACTGTGAGAATGAAATGTAACCACCCAAATGAAGTCAAGGCTGTGAAACCCTCTAAAGGAGGAGCTGTACCCCAGTGCATAGTAAATCCAGGCACAGTTTCTGTGTGATACACCCTTATCGATAAGTAAATTTATTATTTTACTTCCATTCTGCTGCCTCTCTGTGGGTCACTTACTGATTCCTTCCGTCCCAGCACGTTTTGTTGCAGGTGGTTAAGGGCATTTAATTTTTTAAAAGTTCTGTAAGAAACATGTTTGCACATAAAAAAAAAAATGAAAGATCGCTTCCATGCTTTTGTCAGGAATAATGGCAGATGGATTCAGGTTCTAATTTTCAGGGAGGAGACGGAGATGTAGGCTTGGACCCAGATGGGAGCGGTGAGGTAGGAAGGTGTGGTCAGATTAGGGGTACGTTTGGAAAGTAGGCACACTCATTTGGCTTCTGTAGGAGTGGGTCGGTGCGTGTGGAAAAGAAGGAGGGCTGGGGTATAGCTCAGTGGTACTGCGCCTGCCTAGTGTGCTCGAGGCCTTGGGCTCCATCCATGGCCCCACAAAAGAAAAAAGGGGAGAACTCAAACTAAGTTCGAGAGGAGATTACACAGACGCCTCACTAACAGTGCGGCTTCCTAAATGGAATTCTGAACCACAATTCAATTCAGAACCTTAGTGACTGGGCTTAGTGGCCCACGGCTATAATCCCAGCTCTTTGGGAGGCAGAACGGGAAGATCACAGGTCCAGACTTACTTCGGCAACTTAGTGAAGTCCTGGCAAAAGAAGAGGGGAGGCTGAAGATGGAGCATGTGCATGGCCCTGGGCTCAATCCCCAGTACAAAGAAAGAAAGAAAAATTAGTGGCAAACTGCCAATATTTAACCAACGTTTGTAGTTCCTTTGGTGAATAGCGTTATACCCATGTCCGTTTTCCGGCTCACGTCATTGCACTGTGGTTGAAGCTGGTGGTGGCTGGGTGAAGGACACGCAATGGTCGTGCACTCTTTCAGAATAACACATTTGAACTGAGTGTGGTGCTGCATATCTGTAGCCCTAGCTCTCTGGAGGCTGAGGTGGAAGGGTCACCACCAACTCAAGGCTGGCCTACAACACATGGCAAGACCCTGTCTCTCCCTAATAACACTAACTCTGAGTTCTAGACATGTGCACTGAGCCACCGAGTCCTTCCTTAATGGCGCCATCAGTTTGGAAGGGGGGGATTCGGAGAAGAGAGCGTGGGGTTGTGTATTGGAAGGGCGTTCCAGACGTGGATGTGTCAAACGTGCCCCTGAGGTCCCCAGGTGCA